TTTATATCCATTACTAACATTGAAACACAAAAAGCGGTACTACTGCCATTTATTTATTTATTTTCATAGAAAACATCTCAAAATACCACCTTTAACTAGATTTGTCTCTGGGCTAAAACATAACATAAATACAGGATCAATACAAATAAAAACAAATTAAAATTAAAATAATAAGAGTCAAAAACACATAAGTAATAAATACAGTTATAGTAGAATAATAGGCCTATACATACAAGAGGCATACACGCAGGATGAAATGTAACGTACCGTACTGTATGTAGTGAATGTTGTAGAGGTCAAGGGTGAACGCGTTTCTGGAGCCGTGAATGCGTTACAGAACCTCAATGTCACCGCATTACTTTCCGAAGCACGGCGGAAAAACCTGTAAAAAAAATCATTTTTACCATATTTTGGATAATTACCGTACTAAAAGTTGGTTTCTATTGATTATTAAGTAGTTTTCTACTCTCGTGTGGTAATATTTTTATCATTTTTGCACCCGTGTGGTCGCGAGTGGTCCCGTGTGGTCGCGAGTGGTTCCGTGTGGTATTTAGTAGGACCGTGAGCAAGTGAGAGAGACAAACATCATGTTGAATATCAAGATGATAATTTATACCGGAGCTTGAAAACCATTTTATTCTTCGAATGCCTTCTGTATGTACTTACGAAAAAAAAATAGTCAAGTGTTCATACTTTAAAAAAATGCGAATTATGGTCACGTTTACAAGATAAGTAATAATCTAGGCCTAGCCAGGGTACAGCAGCTCCCTAGCCTAGGCCTAGGCTAGCCCTAGCGGGTACAGTAGGTATGCACTAGCTTAGACACCCAGGCCTACTCTCTCTGTGCTAGGACTTGGGCCTACAGTAGGCCTAGGTAGGCTAGTGTTCCAACTAGGCCTAGTTAGCCTCCATACTACTTTCTGGCGGCCTAGCCGTAGGCTAGCTGGTTGGTTAAGCTAGGCATTATTTGGTCTAGTACTAGCTAGGGAGTATGGTCGGAGCGGCCGCGAGGGAAAGAGACCGCGAGCCGATACGCAGCAATTTATATGGAGCGCCAAGCGTGCAGTATGCAAAATGTATGTTGGACAATGGGCATCAGAGTTCGATATTAATACTGTTTTTCATTTATCAAATTAATGTATATTTTCTTTCATAATTTATATATAGCCTATATAAATCGAGACTTAATATTTAGTTAGTTTGTTTATTATATCAAATATTATGATTTATACTTAGTATGCCTATTTTCTTACAGAAATGGATGGTACTTTTTAAATCGCTTCTTTAGTTTATTTATTCAAATTTTGCTAACTTGTGTTCAGTTTGTTCTTTAGTGAATGAACATCTGTTTGTCATTGCATTTGAAGATGATTGATAATTATTATTAATAATAATGATAATAATAATAATAGTAATAATAATAAATTAATAATAATAATGACAACAATGTACAGTATCACTGGTGTAGACCTATGTTTTTCATGTTCATCAAATTTTATTACATTGTAAATTTAGTATTGACAGATCCCATGTTTGAATCCGTTTGTGTCCTGAAAGAAATATAAAATAAAAGTTCATTATACATAAAAATCCGAACTGATAACATATAATAAATATCAATTTAATCATATCATAATTCAATTATGTTATGTGTCATGTAATCAATCTGTAAACAAATCAATCTTTAATTAACCAGGGCCAAGAAGACTACGAGAAATAAAAAATATTCAATTATGAAAATTATACATTGATTTCTCTTTATTTCGAAACACTTGCCTGATCAAATAAAACTGAGTGAAACATACTAGAATTGACGAGTACGATATGAACACTCTTGACCAACGCTCTACAGTACTGTATCCCAATCAATCGGTATAGCGCTACTGGCATACATTTTGAGCGCGGCTGCTTTCCCTCGCGGCTGCTACGACCATAATCCAGTACTAGGCCTAGAGTAGTATAGGCTACTCCTTCTATAGCCTTTTAGGCATAGGCCTACTGTATACGCCTTTTCCAACCCAAGTCAGTGATGCGTAACCAACAAAAATATGATAAGCTTTGAGGCTAAATTCTTGTCCTCATGTTATCTAAAAATTCATAACTCCATAACGGAGGATCGTATCACAAAAGACTATTCTACACCACTATATGATTGGAAAAAAATTGAAAAATGTTTTTTTTTAAACCTCTGAAATCAAGATGGAAAAAGAAGAGCCTATCTAAATAGTGTATTAATTGATATTTACCATGACTTCAAATTTTCTACAACAGGAGATGGCAGACATGGCACAGACAGTACTCTTTGACAAAGAAGCATTCGCAGCAAAATTAGAATTCATTAGATCATTCCTTTCACATTTTAGTGATACTGAAATAAGGCAACACACCTTGTTTCCCAAACTTTTTGTTTCAAAAATCATCATCTGAGGAGGAAGAAAAAAATATTAAAATATAATTTTGCTTTTATATTTAGCAATTAGTTTTGCCAAATATATCCAGACAGAGGAGAAAATAATAATAACATTTTATTGGTGAATGTAAACAGTGAAGTAATGGGATCGTTAAATGTTTTAAATCTATTTAATTAGGAAGAAATATCATATCTCATTTTTTAATATTTCAAGGCAGCAACAGGCATACTGTAATAAAAGAAAAGATTTTATATTTTTCTTAAATTTTAATTTTTACATGGCAGCAAGTCATCATTATTATTATTGGTACTGTATGTGGTGGGTTCACTAAAAAAGATATAAAGAAGTCTTGCCTAATGCGTCAGCAAGCCTGTAAGCCAAGGGAGATCTTAGGTTTTGAAGAAAACCTCCTTTTTCTTAAGTGCCCTTACCAATTACATGTTAAACTATAATGGGGTACAGCTGTATTATATTAACAAGCATCAGGATGTTATTAATAGACTCGTACTGAAGCACAGTCCAGACTATCAAACTGTCAAAAATATAACAAAACTGTTGTATGGTCATATGTAGCCATGATGTACCTATATATGGTCATGATTTGCCTATATATGGTCATGATGTGATGTCATCTAGCCATGATGTGCCTATATATAGCCATGATGTGCCTATATATAGCCATGATGTGCCTAAATATGGTCATGATGTGCCTATATATGGTCATGATGTGGTGTCATCTAGCCATGACGTGCCTATATATAGCCATGATGTGCCCAAATATGGTCATGATGTGCCTATATATGGTCATTATGTGCCTATATATTGTCATGATGTGATGTCATTTAGCCATGATGTGCCTAAATATGGTCATGATGTGCCTATATATTGTCATGATGTGCCTATATATGGTCATGATGTGATGTCATCTAGCCATGATTTGCCTATATGTAGCCATAATGTGCCTATATATGGTAATCATCATGACCATAGGCATGTAACATTTTTTTTTCTGGATATAGCTTTATGCTGTTTTCTTTCTTTTAAACTTTAAAACCATTGACCTCCATTTTATAGATGTATTTAGAATGTGACATAGGAAATCAATTACTCAAGGCATGAAAATGTCATGACCACTGACCCTTCAGGGGACTTAGCCTTCTGGCCCTTCTGTGTCCCCCCAGGGGCCCTAGGTGGCTGCAAGCCTCTATCCATTTAGCTTGTTCATGACCTCTGCTGCTGTGCCCTTCATACATTGGACCAAAGACTTTGAAACACATCATCAATCATCAATCATCATCATCATTGTAATCATTCATTCTTTACACATATCATTTACTATTATATTGCAATTGAAACAATAAGTTACTGATTGTTTTTGTTTGTGTTTTTCAGTTGGTGGACATACCAACAATATTGGAATCCTATAAAACAGTTGATAAGAAAACATTCTTGAAAACTGCAGATATATGTCAGGTAAGCTGGTGTTTCATTCACAGTATTTTCATTTATATACAAATTGCACTGTTAGTGGTGGCAGACAGTGTACCTACATATTGATCTGTCAGTGTTGTAATTTCATGCTTTGTATGATAGAAGACTGATAGTCTAAATTCTTTTGTGCTTTGGTTAAATCTTTTCAAGTGGGACAAATTGCTGGGTGTGTCCCTGTTGGCACAGCTTTTGACAGCCATTTTTTAATGTGACATGCCTAAATATGGTCATGATACATTACATCATGACCATAGGCACATCACAACTATGGGCATACAACATCTTCACACGTCTTTGAATTGTAGATGCTTGGTTGTTCAAATGAAGGGGAAGACAGTGGAAGTGGTCGAGAAGAAAAACCTTCTCCGCACAAGAATACTGACAAAGTCAACAAGAAGTTTCTATGGAACCGTGGACGTAAGTTGAAAGCGAAACAAATCATTAATAAACATATACCGTTGTAAAATATATATATTGCTTGGTGTTTGAGGTCGATTATTTTATTCATCTTCAGGAGAAAGATTAATCAGCCTTTTCAATTCATAGTTGATAAAAATTTCTTTAAATTTTTTCAAATTACCTTTTTTTCAGTAACACCTCCACTAAAGAATGTGAGAAAACGAAGTTTCAGAAAATAGCCAAGAAATAGGTATGTCTAACTCTGATAACATTTTCTCATACCCGCTGCCACTTGGGGATCGCATACAACACTTGTGACTTGGTAGTGTAGTGGTTATGGCACCAGGCTAGTTACCTGAAGGTCGTGGGTTTGATTCACACCCGAATCACTTGTGAATTTTTTTTACTAGTATTTGGGAACATACTGAGTATTCGCTACAATAATACATCAGGTAGGGCAAATCAGGTGGTGCTGGATACAAGAGTGAATTATCATTAAAGATGGATGTTTTAAATACATTTCAATATTTATTCTTTTACTTTCTTCTTGCAGTACATAGAATCACCAGATATTGAGAAAAAAGTGAAAAGACTACTAAGAAGGGACAGCACAGCTATCAGAGTCCGTATCCTTTCATCCGATTTATACTATTTTTAGGAATTTTATCTATTGTTTGAATTGTGAGTAGCAGCAGTTATTTAATTAACATTTGAGGCTTGTCATCCTAAAACCAGCAAACTGTCACTAAATGAGTAATTAGCAAAGAATGTGGCAGTATTGTGTACTTTAGTACAGAGACGCTGTAATACTTTTATTCATAACTTTAGTAATATTAAGTCGATTCCAGTAAATGACTCATCATTTTAAAGATTACAATTTGGAGAATAAGAATATATATTTAGTCATATTTTTTTTTAAATCCTTAATAATAATTTTAAAAAATCCTATTTCTCAGATACTATCATCATACAAAATTTCTCTCTTGTTCAGTTCTATGTATATATTTTTTCTTTGTATTATTTTTTGGCTAGCTAGCTAGGTCCCCATACATGGTTACAATTCTTATCTTTTTATAAGAATGGGAAATGTTGCCAGATAAAGATGGCAAAGAAGACACAAAAAGTGAATTACAAATAGGTATGTTGGTTTTTTATATTATATATTATTAGGGACCTTACACAATAAGGAGTTGCATATTATTGCTATTTATGTATGTTATCAGTGGTTGATTCAAGGGAGGAGGTCACCCCCTCACCCACTGGAAATTTTCAAAGCAAATAAATTAACTAGACACCTTGCATCATCTTCTTTTGCCAGCTAGCGCCCCTCGAGTTATATTCAAGCCGTCTCATTTCACCAACGCCTCAGTGGCGTTGGTAAAGCCAATTCCCTAACCGGGAGTCCAAGGTCCCTAAGAATAACTACATCTAGGTACATGGAGGTGGAAATTCCAGATATTAAAAATGCTTTATTTTCCCTACAAAATGATTGCCTTCTCCAACAGGGTGGTAAAAGTTTGTTTTTCTATCTCTTCCTTCGTTTGTGACGTGATTAGGCCGATCTTGCAATAATATGGAAGATAAGGACTGAGGAATTTAAAGTATGAAGAGTTTTTGCGAAAATATTGTCGGGAAATATGTGAAAAAATATGTTTTTACATCATACCTCTTAACACTACGGTGGGTTTCCTACGAAAGCGAGTTCGTCATTGATCAGATTGCAAATGACCTTTCCACATTGTGTTTATCAACCAATCACGGCCCTGAATGGTAAGCTTTGCGGCTAATAAATGCGTCTGCACGAGTCTAGTTGGTAGCGAAGAATGATCCGTTTTGTGGTGCTTGCAAGGGTGTGTGGTCTCTCCTCTGAGAGATAAACAATGTAAACTGTTGTAATGCAGGTTGGGCTAGAGGAAGACGAACTAGGCCTATAGGCTGGCTGGGTAGTACGTGTGTGTAATAGATCAGGTAACAGGAAATGTAGGCTATAAGTTGCTTTTATGTGTATTAAACCACATAATATTCAAATTAGTAGCGATGAGTGTATGTGTGCAGCACATTTCGTGTCAATGTACTGTAATGCAGGCTGGCCTGACGAAGACGATTAGGCTGGCTGGGTACGTACGTGTGTGTAGGCCTAGGCCCTAGTCTAGATCAGATACTACATGAAATAAATGTAGGCTACAAGTTGCTTTTATGTGTATTAAACCACACATTCAAATCAGTCAGTAGCGATGAGTGACAGCACATTTCGTGTTGCCGCATTGTGGTGTGGTTGATGACGAGGACGTTGCCATTAGATACATGATAGCATGCAAGGTTGCACATGGAATTTTTGTTCTGTTGAGACGGTAGATTTTCAGCATTGCTCTAGGATGATTTTTCTTTACATATGAATTTTTTAGCTTTTCGTACTCTACACTTGGCTATCTGTAGCCAACCACATAGGCCTAGGTACGTAATATATTAGATTTAAATCAGATGTTAATTACATAAAATGTAGGCCAACATTGCCTATAATCTAGTAATGTACTAGTATATTATTTAATCTAGTAATGTATACTACAGTACTATAACTTTAAACGTTTTTCTTTATGCTCTATACACATAACAACAGATGTGTATAAGAGACAGATGTGTATATACATATGTATACATATATATACCTATATGTATAAACATACATACATCAAGATCTGACGTCAGCCAAGAAGTTGTTTAGCTTTTCGCAAACAAAGCTGCATGTTTAACTAACAAACAAAGACAAATGATATACATAATTATAATGCACCTTTGGAAAAATATATTTCTTCACAATGAAATGCTTCTATGCAACAAATTCCATTCACTCACCAAACTGTCTACTTATATCATAAACATCTACATAAATACCTTTATAATTACAGTACAAAATATTTCAAAAAGTTGGGTACACAACAAACCTTACAACAACCATATTTCCTTTAATATCACTGTACATGACATCACACCTTTCCTAACTGTTAATTGAACATAACAAAAAAGGTCTATGATGATGCATACAACTACAGTACTATAACTTTAAACGTTTTTCTTTATGCTCAATACACATAACAACACTCCACACAACCTCCACCTACTGACAGCACTTAAACATTGCCAGCTATTGTCAAGTGGGCTATTGCATCATTGATGCTCTCGTTTAATGTGACATGCCTAAATATGGTCATGAAATATCTCATCATGACCATATATAGGTACATCATGACTAATATGAGCATATAACATCTTCTCGTGTCTTTGAATTGTAGATGCTTGTTTGTTCAAATGAAGGAGAAGACAGTGGAAGTGGTCGAGAGGAAAAAAATTCTCCGCACAAGAACACCGGCAAAGTCGACAAGAAATTTCTATGGAATCACGGATGTACGTTTAAAATGAAACAAATGATTAATAAATATATACCATATTAAAATATATAACATTTTGGTTCAAAGTATTCTATAAAGTTTTCTATATATCAAATAACAATAAGAATGTATTGATATTTCAGGTTGAGTGCTTTATTCGTCTTCAGAGAAGGCTTAATCGATCTTTAAATTGTTTTTTTTAGTAACACCACCACTAAAGAATGTCAGAAAACGGAGGTTTAGGAAAACAGCCAAGAAAAAGGTACAATCTTATACTGTAACTCTGACTATTATTTTTTGCCGTTTCCAATAAAACTGCAGAAAAGAATTTTTTATATTACATATTATTTTTATATTTTTTATATAAGGACTATAAACTGTATGCACAGTGTACACAAATGCTCATGTTCTTTAAAGAACTCAGTAAATCTTTCAAAATGAGTAGAGGGTTGCCCCGGTGTACTGGTTCACTTGGCTTGTCGTGGACAGATGAAAGTGCGCCAGTTTACTGGCTGTGGTGGACATGAAGTGACCCTCTGGGGAGGAGAAAGTTATTGAAAAGTGCAACATCTAGTCCCGAGCGGATAGAGACCTCGTTTATCTGCGCTATATAAATCTATCTATTATTATTTATTATTATATTCACTTTCACTTTGTGGCGTTCTTGCATATATTTACTGCCTGCGACATGTAACAAGGTATTAGTTTGTGTGAAGACAATGGTATCTCAATAGGAAATGGATCAGTGTTTTTACTTTCTTTTTGTGGTAAACTGAACCTGGTATATAGTGGTGTATAGGAGTCTTGAAATCATGGACCTGAAGGGTTGGGGGCACGAAAGTAGAGTAGGGGCCCCAATTGTTAATTGAGGCGGCTCTAGGCTGCAAAATGAGGTGTTTTTAAACTGCTTGAGTGTGATTTTTTGCTTTGGACAGTTTTAATGGGGGCGGACGACATGGGATTTCGCAAGCTATTTTTTGGGGTGTGTTCCTTAGCACAACCCTAGATATGTCACTGGTATTAGTTCAACTGGATACGAGAATAAAATTGTTAAACTGATGCCTTAAATAAATTTCAATATTCTTTTACTTTCTTGTAGTACATTGAATCACCAGATATTGAGAAAGAAGTTAAAAGACTATTGAGAATGGACAGTACCGCTATCAGAGTCCGTATCCTTTCATCTGTTTTATACTATTTTGAGTAATCTTATCTATTGTTTGAATTTCTCAGCAGCAGTTATTGAACACTTGAGGCTGGCCATCCTAAAACCAGCATCACTAAATGAGTAATTAACATAAGAAATGGCAGTATTGTATACTTTAGACACAAAAGCCGTAATACTTTTATTCGTAACTTTGGTATTACAGTAGTAAGTCGATTCCAGTTAACGACCCATCGTGTTAAAGCTTACAATGTAGAGAACAATGATATATTAAAGTCTGTTTTCTATTTTGCAGTCACTGGTGCTGGTTTTGTCATGTTGTAACTGACATATTAACAACAAAAAATAATAATTAAAAAAAATTCTATTTCTCGGATACTATCATCATAAAATTTCTCTTTTGTTCAGTTCTGTGTATATATTTATTTATTTTTTTTCATAGTATTATTTTTTGGCTAGCTAACTAGGTCGCTATACATGGTTACAATCCTTATATTTTTGATAAGGATGGGAAGTGTTACCTGATAAAGATGGCAAAGAAGACACAAAAAGTGAATTACAAATAGGTATGTTGGTTTTGAATTACATATTATTAGGGACCATAGACAATATGGAGTTTGCATATTATTGTTAATTATGTATGTTATCAGTTGTGGATTCAAAGGAGGGGGTATAGCCAGCCCATCCACCCCCCTAGATTTTGTAAGGTTATAAAAAAAAAAAGATGCTGAAAAAAGAAAATTATATTCAAATATAAAATCAGAGAATGCCATTTATGGCCATCTAGAGGTAGCATAATAGTACATTTTCTTCCCTAAGCCCCAACCATGGTGGGCCTGAAGTTGTATTGACCCTCTATTTTCGAAAGTCTTCCCCTGGGCCCACTGTATTTCAAATTCCTGGACCCACTTGTGATATAACATCTTCTATTTTACCATCATCTTCCATTTTAACATAATCTTGCATTTTAACATCATTTTGCATTTTTAATGGCAAAAATTGTCATATAAAGCCTGATAGTGTGACCAGGACTTAACAAGATGCTTTCTTTTCAGATGGCAACGACTGGAAACAGATCTTTGAAGAGGTTAGTAGCTCAGAGAATGAGGAAGAGGAAGAAGACGTCAACATCATGGAGGTCGGGGATTCCCAGCAAGGCATGGAGGAGTTCAAAGTTCAAAATGTTACGGCCGCCCTTGAAGGACTGGAAGCGGCTGTGGATCAAGATGACACGATCACAGAAGATAGCATGCAACAAGAGAGTAAGTTCGACCCCCTTCCCTCCCCTTCCATTAGCCCCCACTTGTTATGCAATCAGTTGATATAGTTGTGTGCCTCACCGGCGTTGCCAGAGCCAATTCCCTGACAAGGAGTCCAAGGCCTCTTTAACCACTAAATAACCACTTCAAGTAGGTGCAAAAAGACTGTAAAAATGCTTTTTATATATTTTTCAATGAAATAATTTTTTTCTTCCCTAACAAGGTGATGGAGTTCTGGGGTTTCCCACTAATACTAATGTATATTCCCACTAATACTAATGTATATCCCCACGCTCTCCCCCACCCCCTTCCCCATA